GCACTTGGAGGCAGTGAGTGGCTAAAAAGCCCCAGAATAATGCAATACAAAAGACAAAAATATATATTACTCTTACGAAAAAGAGAATAAACAATTTGCATGCAAAATGTACCAAACGAATTTGCATGCGCAGCAAATGCATGCGGTGTACATACACTGCGCTGCGGTGTATGTACACTGCGCTGCAAGTGCCCTGCATGCAGGTCTCAAAAAGAAAAAAAGAAGAAAAAGAATTTCAAAGTTTCAAACCAAATAAAACAATAAAATAAAAAGCGATAATGAAAAAAAGAAACAAAGAGGAAAAAGAATGCAAAAATGCAGCAAAAGAAGTTCTTTTTTGGACAATTAATTTGTTTAAAAGCCTATTTTAGTGCTCTTTTGGCCTTTTATAGCTTTGCATGCACATTTGCACTCCAAACCCTCATTAAGGGTTTACAAATCTGGTCTTTTCCCCCTCAAAACCCCAAAAACCTCACCCGTAAATGTAATTTATTATGCAGCGAACAGCCTCGGGGTATTCGCACTCCATAACATACTTCAGCAGGTCCGGCCTTTGTGGGGTGTCTGCGCAGTTCGGGTGTACGTACACCCCAAAAGCCAGCAGCAGCAGCAGCAGCAGCAACAGCAGCAGCAGAAGCAGCGAAAGGTTATTCGGCAGCTCCCAGAACAAACCCCAAACCCCAAACCCCAAACCCTAAACCCTAAACCCTAAACCCTAAACCCTAAACCCTAAGTGGCGGTGTCTGCCGGTGGAGCACCGCCGGAGTGCTGGGGCGCGGGGTGTACGTACACCTGGGACCGCTGGGGTGTACATAAACCTCACCAGAATAGCGCATTTTCTCTTTTTGTTTTTCTTCTAAAGCAGTTATTTCTTTTAACCAAACTGGCGAACTTAAACGCAAAAATGCGCTGTGCACGGGGATGCTGTACGCACGCTGCGGCACCTGAAACAAACCCCAAACCCTAAACCCTAAACCCTAAACCCTAAACCCTAAACCCTAGCAGCGGTCTTGTGGGCTCAAACAAAGCGCCAAAGAAGCGTGAAAACAACTAAATGGCCTACATTTAAGAATTATATTTAAATGCAAAATGAATTTTTTTAAAGTGGAGACTTTTTGCTGCAGCCGAGGTGTATGTACACCTCGCGGCGGTGCTGCTGGGGTGTATGTACACCTACGCGGGCCTTCTTCAGCAAATCTTCCGGAAGCAAAATTGTCTGCTGCTCACTTTTATTTCTTTTGCTGCTTTTGCCTCTGGGGGGCACCAGCACCAGCAGCAAATCGCAAGTCCCCAGGCTCCGCTGCAGCCTGAAAGAAGCAGCAGCAGCAGCAGCAGCAGCAGCAGCACATAGTAGTGCGCAATGTGTGCATGCGCTGCGGCAGCCGAATTGGATTGCTGCTGATACTTCAGCAGCAGAAAAAGCAGCTGTATAGACACTTCGACGTGGTGCAGCAACAGCAGCAAAGTTGAGGGAAGGATGCAGCTGCTGGCGTAGAGACTTGCTGCTGCACTATTTGCTGCTGCTCCTGCTGCTGATGCTGCTGTTTCTATAACAACAGCAAACTGAAAGGACTTCAAAGCGAAACAGAAGACTCGCAGAGCCGCGTGCTGAGGTGTACATACACCCCAACAGCAGCACGGCAGATGAACACAAAAGAAATGGATGCAGCAGCAGCAGCAGCAGCAGCAGCAGTAGCAGCAGCAGCAACTACAGAGCTGTAGGGCTCCAGGCAGCAACAGCAGTGCAGCAGCAGCAGCAGCAATACAGTGCAGCAGTAAAGCAATGCATCAGCAGCACCGCAACGGCCCTGCCGCCGCTGCAGCGGCACCTGCTGCAGCTGCTGCTGCTGCTGCTGCTGCTGCTGCTGCTGCTGCTGCTGCTGCTGCTTACATTTTGGCATCAAGGATGGCATCTGCGTCGTTGAGTTTTTCAGCAAGTTGCATCGGCTGCGCCTCAAACATCTCCAGGGGCTCTTCTGCTGCTGCTGCTGCAGCAGCAGGCTCGGGCCGCTGCATCCGCAGCACCATTAAGGCGTAGGCCTCTGCAGCAGCAGCAAAAGCAGCAGCAGCAGCACATAGCGCAGTGCCATTGGGGCGTAGGCCTCTGCAGCAGCAGCAAATGCAGCAGCAGCAGCAGCAGCGCATAGTGCAGCAGCAGCAGCACAGACAGCTGCAGCGGCAGACTCCAGGTGAAACGGTAGCTGCAGCAGCAGCAGCCGCAGCCACAGCAGCAGCAGCACTACTAGCAGCAGAAGCAGCAGCACTAACAGCAGCAGCAGCACCACCACCATAAACAGCAGTAGCAGCACCGCCACCACTAACAGCAGCAGCAGCAGTAGCAGCAGCACTACTAGCAGCAGAAGCAGCACCACTGCAGCACCACCACCGCCACTAACAGCAGCAGCAGCAGCAGCAGCAGCAGCAGCAGCAGGCTCACCGGTCAAGATATAAGGCATGCAGTGCAGCAAAGGCTTCAGTTCAGAATCTCCTCTTTTTCTGAAGAGCATATTTCCTCTTTTGTCGAAATATCCATTTTGAATCCACTTCAACACGCGCAACGCGTCGAACGGGCCCTGCAACAAACCCTAAACCCTAAACCCTAAACCCTAAACCCTAAACCCTGGGGAGGCGATTGGAAGAAAAGGATTTGAAGGTTGAATTAAAGAAAAGGATTAGAGTATGTAATTTGAGAAAAGGAGTGAATGATGCAGTTAAAAAAGGATTTAACAAAACAAGTAAAAAAGAATCATCAAAACAAATAAAAAAGAATTATCAAAACAAATAAAAAAGAATTAAACAAGACAAAAATAAGGAATTAAGTAAAAATATTGAAAAGGAATAAAATAGATATTGAATAAGAGAGTGAATAAACAATTAAAAAAGAATAAAATGAAGGAAATAAGTAAAAGATAAATGGACAAAAAAGAATTAAATAGAACAAAAAGGAAAAGATAAAACTTTATTTTGAATGAATTAAACAAAACAAATAAAGAAAAGATTAAAAAGCAAAAATGAATTAAAATGAATTAACGAAAAGACAAACAAAAGAATAAAAGAAAAGAATCAAAAGCTGAATTAAATAAAGACAAAAGAACAATAACTAAATAAACAAATAAATAAATAAAAATAAGTAAATAAATAACAAAATAGATAACTACGCGAATAAAGAAATAAGTAAATAAATAAATAAAAGAACTAAATAATAAATAAACAAACAAATAAACAAATAAAAGAATTGAATAATAAATCAACAAACGAGTAAATACATAAATAAATAAAAGAAATAAATAACAAATAAATTAATCAATTAATAAAATAAATAAAGAAATAAAACAAATAAAAGAAATAATAAATAAATAAGTAAGTAAATAAATAAATAAATAAATTTTTCATTACTTGAGTTTTGCCGAAGTCGTCCAAATACTCCCAAGAGTGTAGAGACACCCGAAGAGCCTCTCGGGTGGACATACACCCCAAGAGGCAGCACGTGGAGGTCGAGGAGATGCTGCGAAGCTGCAACAAACCCTAAACCCTAAACCCTAAACCCTAAACCCTAAACCCTAAACCCTGGGCTCTAAAGACGGGAGCACGCGGCAACGGAGACGCCGGAGTTTCGGCGAAAAGATCTTTCGAGAAGAAGCAAGATCTTCACTGGATGCAGCAAACCCTAAACCCTAAACCCTAAACCCTAAACCCTAAACCCTAAACGCCGAACCCTAAACCCTATACCCTTGACGCTGCACACGACGGTTCACACTCAACGAAACCCTGCAGCACTTTTCTGAAGAGTTGAACAAGCCAGTCTGTTCTGGAGACATAAAGATAAAACCCTGAACCCTAAACCCTAAACCCTAAACCCTAAACCCTAAACCCTAAACCCTAGGGAGGTCCTTACCAAGGCTGGGTCTTCGGCGTTGTCTTGCCCCTCTTGAGATGGCGGCGAAGGGGAGGCTTGGGGCCTCTCCCCCACATTCCTCAGTTCCTCCATTGAAACCCTAAACCCTAAACCCTAAACCCTAAACCCTAAACCCTAAACCCTAAGCCCTAAACCCTGAGCCTTGGCTCGGGACCTGCAGTGGTCCGGCTGTCGCTGTCTGCGCTCTTCGCAGGCTGTCGGAATGCAGCAAAAAGGGGGAAATAAGTGAATTAAATGAATTAAATAAATTAAATTAATTAAATTAATTCATTTTAATTCAGTTTAATTTATTTTAAAACTCCAGAATTGCATAAATGCTTCGCTGAGACTCCAGAGCTGTCGGCGGTGGCCTCAGCAGCGGCCAGCTAGCAGCCGCCGCTCACTGGGGGCCCCCAAACCCTAAACCCTAAACGCTAAACCCTAAACCCTAAACCTTAAACCCTAAACCCTAAACCCTAATTGTTTAGATTTAAGTTAAATTCGCTCATTCAAAGAAGACAAAACTGCCAAAGACATCCATTTGGTGCAGCGGCGGACAACGCTTGAGCGCCCACGCCGCTGCAAACGCTAAACCCTAAACCCCAAACCCTAAACCCTAAACCCTAAACCCTAAACCGTGAACAATAAACACTATATGTAAACCCTAAGTCCTACACAGACCCTGGCCCCTAGACTCAAGACCCTGTAGCTTCAACCCAAAACTCTAGACCCTAAACCCCAGACCCTACACCCTAAACCCTAAACCCTAAGCACCACACCCTAAACCCTAAACCCTAAACCCTAACATAGGGAGTTTGTAGCAGATCCGGCGGGGTTTAGATTTGTTGTTGATTGTTTTTATAAAAAAGAACTTCAAATAAATAAGAGAAGAAAATGAAAATCAAAAAAAGAAAAATAAAATAAAAAAAGAAAAACCCCTTAAAGATGGTTTTAGAAAAGAGGTTTAGTAAACCCTCGTTGTTAAACCCTTTCTAGAAACCCTCGTTGCTAAACCCTCGCCTCTAAACACTCATCATTTGGTCAAACCCTAATCGCTAAACCCTATTTAGTAAACCCTCGTTTCTAAACCCTCATCAGTAGAGCCCAACTACCAAACCCTTTCTGTTAAACCCTCGCCATCAAACCCTCACTTCTAAACCCTCATTTCTAAACCCTCATTTCTAAAGCCTCTTCATTAAACCCTCGTTCCTAAACCGCCATGATTAAACCCTCTTCAGCAAACCCTCATTTCCAAACCCTCATTGTTAAGCCCTCATCACTAAACCCTCGCTATCAAACCCTCATCGCTAAACCTTCGTTCTCAAACCCTCATTAAACCCTCAGTGTTAAACCCTAACTGTTAAACCCTGTCTAGTAAACCCTCGTTGCTAATCCCTGACCTTTAAACCCTTTTTAGAAAACCCTTTTTAAGGGTTTGGCAGCAGCAACATAATTCTCTTGAAGATCCAGAGCGAGATGCAGCTCTTTCAAAGAGGCGCAGGAGCATTCCACACTAAACGCTAAACCCTAAACCCTAAACCCTAAACCCTAACCCCTATAACCTAAACGCTAAACTCTGAATCTTACAATGCTAAACCCTAATCCTAAATCCTAAACCCTAAACCCAAAAAACACCAAACCCTAACGCCAAGTCGCTAAACCCTAGACCGCAACCCCTAGACCCTAGACCCCAAACCCTAAACCCTAAACCCTAAATAGCGAAGAAAAGCTTCTAAACTGGACTAAAATGTAGAGGCCGAATTGAAGGATTTGTTGCGAAAAGAACTTTTTGAATAATCCGAAAAAGTTTAAAAAAAGATCTCGAGAAACAAAATTAAAAAGCTGCGAAAAAGGCAAATGTCCCAAATTAAATTAAAATGAAATTTGGCAAAAATGAAAATTGGAAAAACGGGAAACTCTCGGGCGTACGTACACCTGAAGTGGGAAGAAGCAACTCGAAACTGCTGTTGCAAAAACACAAAAGATTTTTGTTTATTTAAAAACAACATTTTAAAATAAATAATGTTTTATAATTGACAGAAAATATTAAAAGTCTTTTCTGCATTTCCGCGACACTGGAACAGCGCCAGCTGTACGTGAGCTGTACGTAAGCTGTACGTACACCCCGTCAGCTGTACACACAAACGGGAGCACTTCGGGTCTTTTGAAATTTTCTGTTTTTCATTTTTCCATTTTTGCTTCACTTCTTTGCCATTTTGAGTCCACCTAATGGTACTTTTTTTAATCTTTTAAAGTTCTTCTTTTTCTTTTTTTCATTTTTTCCCCATTTATTTGCCATTTTACTCCCGGAGAAAATCTCAAAGTGCTGCGTTAGCAGCTGCTGCCCCAGACTGAATTGGTCATGCAGCAGCAAAACAAACACCCCAAAGCAGAAGAGGGGGGCCCCTGGGGGCCCCC